AGTGAAAGCTGACAGTTTACAAGAGACAGTGAAAGGGAAGCCATGGGAAAAGAAAACAACTCCTGGATGTGAAATATACATACAAGAGAAAGCTTATCCTGGGCTTGATGATGAAAGGCCCTTCTTTCAGGGTACAGACCGTTTAAAAATAGGCGTTTTCTCAGCATTACCACTGGCAAAGAGTTATTAAAGGCCTTTTTATTGTGATATAGGATTGTCAGACATGGGTGGTGTATAGAGTTAATCTGTCTTGTGGTAAAAATGACACTGCTGTGCCTTGCTTTTACAAAGATTGGACAACCAGTTACTGCGCATTAACCATATCTAGCCCTTCCAGTTTTCCATATCTCAAAGTGCTTTATAAGAGGAGGAAAGAATCAAAGTACATGAGGGAACTGAAGCAGAGAGAGAGCAACTAGTATGTCAAGTGTCAGATGATTCCCTTCCACGTTTCATCATGATCATGTGACATTTGTGAGCTTGCTACAAAACCTTGTCTTTTTGCGTGTAAGACGTATCTGGATTATCTCTGTATCAGCTGTTGCCATTTAGCAAGATCAGGTAGCATGCACCTGAGTGTGTAGCATGAAAATGAGAGCAAAGTCTAGCTTGTGTGATGCTGTCCTCAAAACTTCGAACATGATCATTTAGGCTTCCTGTTTTCAAATAAGTGAATGTTATTCTTGGGTTTTTTAAACATAAACATTTTTAAAAACCAAACCTTTAAAAATGCTGCTTCAGAGTAACTCGTTTTGTGGGTCTTTGGCCAGTGTTGAAAGAAGATATGCTGTTTTGTATTACTAGTTTGAATTCACGTTGGCTGGAAAACACAAGAATTTACTAAGAAAGATGACATGACAAGAGGGTCAAATAATGTTTTAAGGTATTTCTTAGAAAAAATGTTTAAAATAACTTTTATCTGATCTTTGGCAATTTCATCCTTTACAATATCTAATGTGAAGTTGATGAATCTGCTTTTAAGCTACTTCCAGCTAACCAAAGAAAAGGCACTCATTACTTTGCGGTCCAAATTTAATCAGGAAGAAGAAGAAAAATATTCAAAAGAGCAAAAAAAATGCAAAAGATATTTCTGAAGTTTGATACCTCATAAATCCAATTTTTAAATGGAAATGCAAATGATTTAAAAAAAAAATCATTTGCAAATAGTAGCTCAGTCAAATCCCAGGTGAGTCAGAGGGAGCTGTGGCAGAGTACAAGGTCCAGATGCTTTTTTCCCTAAGATGCTGGTTAATTGTCTGATTCACCTTTTTGACCATAGGAGATTGCTTTTTGCCCTTCATACAGTGCTTCCAGTGTGGTGCGGTTGCAGTGGGTTTGTGTTAGTTATTTCTTGTCCAAAACAATACATACAATACAATCTTCTTCAGAGTTTTCTAAAAAGTTGTTACAATAAAATGTTGGCAATACTAGCAGAAATACGCAGTGCACACAGCTGAATCTGAGGTTTCCTGTTCCTCTTTAAGCTCTGCTTCTCTGAAGGAGGATGAGGAAGGGTGAGGCAGAGGTTTTGGAGCTGTGTCAGGAGTCAGGGGTGCGCATGCTCTTCAGCAGCACTGCCTATGAGGCTTAAACCTTTGGCTCCAGACCCAGTGGCGAGGAATTCTGTCTGAATGTGCTGTCATGTTGAAATGTTAAAAAAAAAACCCCCCCCCCCTTCTTTTTTTTAAACAGTGGTCGCTCGGTATCAAATGCTACAAAAGATAATAAATTACGAAAACCAAGAAGAGTTAGAATTCAGGAGGTTTTGAAATTTGTCAGGTTTTCTCTTGTGTTTTTCTTGATTCTCAGCTCTCTCTTCCCATCTTTATTTGCATGTTACTGATAATGTGATTCTTAAGCTTTTGAAGTTGATTTAGCTGTATAGGATATTTCATCTATATAATTTTCACAGAGTGAACAGGATCTGCCATTTAAAGCCTTTGCATTCCCATTAGCTCTGGGAGTTTGCTTTGAGAAAGAGTTTCTTTACTTTTGCTGGTGCTTCTGGTCTCCGAAGTCACCAGTATCAGGTGTTTGTTTGATGGTCTTGTGAAAACAAACATTATTTTCTCCACAAATCTAACCTACTCTCAAATACTTCGCTTATATGGCGTCTTGAAAAATTTTGCTTAAGTTTTCCACAAGGATATTGCACATTGTAACATTATGTAGGGATATGTCAGATTACTGCACTTGGGCAAAGGATTACTGTTTCATACAAAAGTATGGTTGGTTGACACACCCTGTGTGATTCATGCTAAAGATGGAAGTTTGAAAGAGATGATAAATTTCACAGGACAAAGAAGAAATCATGCTAAAGCTCTCCCTGATAATCCAGCACATTGTTAATTAAAGCAAGCATTTCTTTAAAAAGGCTCCTATTGCATAAGATCTGTTTGTGAAATTACTGATTTGTCGCAGCAGAGACAGCTAAGGAGGAGCGTCATTTTCTCAAAATGGCCAAGCCTTAAGAATGCCATCCACAATCTAGAAGTTCGGGGGTTTTTAAGAGCTGAACTGCCACAATTTGTGATTGCAAAAGAAGACAGTACCTCTTTTCAGCCAGTCAGCCCTTTAAATTCTTTAATTTTCAGTACTTTGACCCATCTGCATGAGTCAGGAAGCAATGTTTGTTTGGTCTGTAGGAGCTCTAGGTGTATTGCAGAGCTCTGCAAAACCATGTATGGACTCCACTAGCAGAACGTTCTGCAGTCACCAAGCATTTTTGAAGACCTGACTACCTTCCAAGCATTAGACTTGTTCTCAGGCTCAGTGCAAGTAAACTGAAGCATTTCTTTCATGTGCATACGGATCAATGTTCCCATGTCTGAAGATATGGCAGCCATATCTTAAAAGTACTTCACTGTGGTGAAGTAGTTGCTTCTCAATGCCGGAGTTTCCATCTCTGGAGGAAAGACTGACCCTGACTAAAATGGGATAGTAGCCTCTGTGCAGAGGGCAGTCCCTCTGGGGACCGTCCCCCAGGCAGTAGGATTAGAGGGAGCGAGGGTATGAAGATGCTACACTCTGTGAAAACAGGAGGATGTCATATATTTTGAAAATCTTCACAATCTTCTAGTTTCTCTGAGAAGTCCCGGATATAGCTGCCTTTATGTGCAGCAGTTGCTTGCCCTTGCTAATGTGATGGGACTGTGAGGTTTAGCACTGAGAAAAAAGGAAAGTCTGTTTCTCTTTTTCTCAGACTCGTCCCTTACGTTGCCTGGGGAGACACTGTAGAAGGGCCTTGGGAGACCAGTAGTTCACTTGGGAACCGCGGGGGGATGCTGAGGGGAGATGCTGTGTAGAGGTTTGGTTTTTTCTCCCTGTTCCTCTCCTCCCTTCACATGCAGATCATAGTTTCCCAAGAGAAACAGGAGTTTTGCGTATGTGGTAACGGTCTTCCAAGACATTAAGATTGTAACAGTCAATGACTGTCCATGTCTAATGATGACAGGACAAAAATGTACCATCTTAATTTGGTGAGAGGAAGAGACCGGTTATACATTAGGGGAAAGCTTTCTAGCCAAAGGGTAGTGATGCAGTGGACCAGGCTTTTTAGGAAGTTTGCAGAATCTTCTTTTGAAGAACAGGATGAGTTAATGTAGATAGACCAGTACTAACTCATTGCTAAAGGACCTGCTGAGGACGCTGTGCCCATGTGTCAAGATTTCTGCAGTTGTAACAGAAGAAAGAAAAATCAAGGAAGATGTGTAAGAAAAGATATGATGGTGTGAGATCGATAGTTTGGAAAATTACTTTTCACAGCAGTGTTTTGGAGCAAACTGAGCAGCACAGGGTGGCATTTGTCAGTGACAGAGAAAGAGGTACGACATGAATAGAAGTCCGAGTTGAGTGAAGCCAAAATCAGGATTAGTTTGATGACTGCGTAGGTTAGTCTCTAGTATAGAGATTTCATTTAGAAAGACCCAGCGAGTTGTAGAGGCAGCTTTTGTGGAGGAGTTTAAGAAGAGGATATAGTAAAAAATTTTTCTATAATGTATGCAGGTAGCAAGATGCCGGTTTGAAAGAAAGTAATCTGCAGTGAGAGGTAGCTGTCCTGATGATTTGAGGCTTTTTGGAGGTTTAAGTTTTAACAAAAAGAAGATAAGCTGTTCAATGGAAGAAGTAGTACAAGAAATGTAGTAACTATTAATTGTAAAAACTCTTTGTACATTGTAAAAGAACTTTTTATAAAAATCAGAGGTTTTGAGCTTCTATTAAAGCATGGTTTGTGTGTGTAAAAGTCCTTTTCTGACTGCATTGGGTGGTTTGATAAAGTGAGTATCACCTACACCTGTGAAATCCAGCTTGCTTTAGGAAAACAAATTCCTGGGTAGATTGCTAGAGCTTAGCTGAGGTAAACAGAGAAGAAGCATGGACATGAAGTTTATTGATCCTCTGTCAGCTGGTAAAAATTTGCAAACCAGTTTCTAATTCAATAGGAAGAGGTTTTTTGTTCATGATAGCTACTTGGTGCCTTTCACTGGCAATTCCTCACTTTGGGAATACAGCTGTACTCAGATGGCTGTTGCGATATTGTTGACTCCTGAGTTTGATAAAGGTTGTTAACTGTCAGCAAGAACAGCAGTGCCTGAGATAAGGATTCCTTTCAAAATGCTGTTCTCTGCAGAATTAGCAGGTTGTCTGCTTTTTCACCATACTACAGCACAAGAAATTGGTGGGTGGGCTCCTTATACGAGGTGCTATTACAAAAATATTGTGCAGTTTTAACAGTAATCAAACTCTAGGATCCTGAAAGGGTGGATGAGATTCTGATAAACTCAGCCTTTGAAGCGGAGGTGCCTGACTTCACATAGCCTATTAACTGTCAGCTTTTTTTAAATCAAGATACCGAAGTGACTTTTTTCCTGGGCTTATTCAAAACCGTGACTGTGACTTTTTAGTTGAAAAGCCCTTACAGAATTATAACTTAACTTGCTGTATTTTAACATGTTTCTAGGTAGAGGACGCTCCTTGGATTGTAAAGCGTTTCAGGCGCAATGGCAGATCCCATCCGCTGGGCCAGATATCGTTGGCAGCGACTGATATCTACGGAGGGCAGAGAAGGTGGCAGCAGCAGCAATTCAAGTAACAAGTGCTATCAATCATCAAAAACCATTGGCAAACACAGGATAGTGATACCCTGTTTGGGACATTTTAAGGAGGAGTATGAAAAAGTATCAAAACTGTACATGAACAACAAAATACGGACTACTAAGTATACTTTATTGAATTTTTTACCACGGAATTTATTTGAACAATTTCACAGGTAATGAACTCTTCTTGATTTTTGGTAATTCTTCTAAAGTGGATTCCTTTTATTTAGATGTGTGTGTTACTGTATAGGCAAGTATTCAAAAATTATTCCTCCTCCCGACCTGCCTGTCACTTCTGAAAAGATTTGTGTTATTTGGCCAAAGTATTTTTGAGTATCATCAGTGTTGGGCTAATCCTTTTCTCCATAGTTTATGTAATTTCCACCCATTCTGTTCTTAGGATGTTGGAAATATTCCTTACTCTTGGAGCACTGCCACACAGGAATCTGCAGTAGGATTTTCAGCTCATTTCCTGCAGATGTATTTCTCCTTTTCGCTCATGTCTTTCTCTGTTGCCAAGTTTTTTCATCCTGCTTGGAGGGCTGCTGATTTGTAAAGTTATGCAGGGAGGTTATAGGATGGCTCCCTTTTAATAACATGTCATCTCCCTCAGGAAATAATAAAATTAAGTTTAAAAGACATGGAAATTTCAGAGAGTGCAAGTTCACCAAAGCCTCACTAGAAGTCATATGCCTGGAGAACAGGTTTGAAAATACAGGAAAATTCTTGGCTTCTGGATCTGCTGCTCATGCACATTAAGCAAATGTGCAGCCAACTAAGCTGTTGACTGGAGTGAAAACAGAGTGGTGGACACTTAGTTCTTAAATTGCAGTTGGGGGTGAAGAAAAGATAAATTACTGTTAACTTAAGTGTCTGTATAGCATGGAGTGGAGGAGTAAAGATGACTGCTAGCACAGCTGACTCCTGTGTTTTCTCTTTGTTTCAGAGTTGCCAATTTGTATTTCCTGTTTCTAGTCGTCCTAAATTGGGTTCCTCTGGTAGAAGCCTTCCAAAAAGAAATTACAATGCTACCTCTAGTAGCGGTTCTGACCATTATTGCAGTGAAAGATGGTCTGGAAGATTACTCAAAGTACAAAATGGATAAACAGATAAACAACTTACTAACCAAGGTATATAGCAGGTAAGAGATAACAGTCTTTCTGATTTATGATTCTTGTTTGATTATGAGTGTATGTGAAAAAGCTGTTGATAAATCTTTCGGTTTACTTTCTGGGTACTCATGGAATCAAAAAAATTTAAGTTGGAAGGGGTGTCTGGAGGTTATCTAGTCCAAGCCCCCCCTCAAAGCAGGTCTAATTAGATCGAGTTGCTCAGGGACTAGTCTACTTGAGTCTTGGTGACCAGTTTTACTAAATGGATATCCGATTAGTGTAGAATTTGCTGAAAAAAAATATTCTTTGATTGAGGCATGAGTGTTCATACATGAGTTTGTACTGTATCAACCAAGGTAGTTTGACTAGTTAAGCATTGTTGTACGTAGCATTTGTTTTGAAAGGTGTATTTTTAATTCCTCTAAAATCGCTGTAAGCATCACGGAAATTCACGGGTTGCTAATTTACCACTGTATGGGTAAAGCTCATTAACGATGTTGGGATATTCTCGTAATGTAATAACATTTTCCCAAACAGAATGAGCTCATTTTGTATTTGAGTGCATCACGTAGTTTGGTACCAACGTTAGCATCTGTTTTACAGCGCAGGACCGCAGTATCGCATGCTGTAGGTGCAGATCAGGAGTGGAGCGTGCTAGTGGCGAGAGGTTTGCTGGTAGGCAGTTGTTATGCATGGGTAATAAAAAGACAGGAATGCAAACTGATCGTATTCTAAATTAACGGGCAGAAAGCTTCTTTTGGAGCACGTCAGTGCTGCCCACATCATGGTTTTTCTTTTATACCTGTCATAAAAGGATATTCTGGGACTCATTCGAAATACAAGAAGAAGGGTCCACTATAATTCGTTTATCTTTTCTTGCATGCTCTGTGGTCATAAAGGGAAACAAGTATTCTGAAAAATGTCGCTTTTCATGTGTTGTAGCAGCCATCACAAATAGCACCTGTAGGAGAGGGTCAATTGGCAGTTAGGCACTTTAACAAATTCAGTAAGTTGTGAGCAGTAACATACAGTAGTTGCTGTAGTGCCAAACCACATTTAGAGCTCCCTCCTTTCATTAAAGGCACAGCTTTTCCCTAGTGAAGGCAATATACTGAAAATAAACTTTTCTAAAATCTTAATGTGATAGCTGGTTATGCCAAACCCTAAACTTTGTACTGTAGACATGACCTTAATCAGCTTACGCAGCAGGTTTGCAATCTGGAACTACATAGCCATTAAATATATTATGATATCACTCAGAAGGTGGAATCTGCAGCTTTCTGGCATTTGCCGTACTCTAGTGGTATTTTAAGAGCTAGCTTCTAACCATAGAAGTCTGGACTATCATTTCATATCATCAAAGGAAAAAAAAAACAGCTTTTTGCTCTGCAAACACGAATATATATAGCAGCTTTCCCAGAAACATTCTGTTCAAGCTATAAAAATTTTAGCTTGAAACAAGTAACTAATTGGGCTGTTAGGGAAGGTAAACATTTTCTTTCTTTTTCATGTCTGAAGAGAAGGCCCAAGGGAGAAGCTGGATTATTTCTGATATAAATTGTCATGTACCCTGAAAGAATTGATTGCTAGAAAGCTGAAGCATTCGATACCCATTTTCCTGAAAACTCTGTGTTGCTTGCAATCTCATACCAATGTCAGTGAAGCAGAATTAATATCTGATCTTCTTTTCTGGCTTGATTCCATCCTGCTCACCAAAAATTTGTAATAATCAGTGGCCGTATTAGTCATCTGTTAAAGTTCCTTCTTGGGCCTGTAAGTATTTAGGTTTTTGTGACTTTTTTTTCTCCTTGGTTTCTTTATCATGAATTATTTTATATAGTATAATCTGGTTTTGAAAATAAGCTTGGAGGCATGGTTCAGGATAATTAAATCTTATTGGTACAAAAATGATTGTTCATGAGGTGTTAAACAAACTTTAACCTCACTCTAGGATTCAGAATTTCTTAACAAGAATCCCTTAGAAATTGTGATGACTCTTCCAGTGTATGCATTTAATCAAGAATAGTCATATCAATTGTAAACATGATGAAGAACTAGCTAATGTTGAATACACTTTCCAGGTGCTTCCTTACTGTGCATTTGTTCATCTGGAGAAGTTGTGTGCATTGTACATGCTGTCTGTATAATTCTACTTGCACATTAGATACTGATACCTCCATGGCTACTGAGACAAGTGCCCAATGTAATGGCTGTCCTTGCCATCTCAGCATAACTAAGCGATAATGGTCATGCTGGGAAGCTGGTAGGCTGCCTGGCTGCACCTGCAGATAATGTGCCTGAAGCATTTTCAGAAAGACCAGCAATCCTCGCTTCTTCAACTCATGAGGCTTGCTTTTATACGAAGTTAAGTGTTTGTGATGGAAGCTAGTTTCACCATGCTCTGTTGTCCATGACAAGGTGTGCCAGTCTCAGTGCCTTCATAAATCTGTCTGAGCAACTAGAAGCTACTTTCTGTGCTTTTTTGACAAATCTGATTCCCTCCCCCCATTTGCTTTTGCTTGTAGCAGATGTCTGATGTCTATAGTTTTAGAGTTTTCAGCCTGCTCCTTTTTGGAGTTCTGGAATTTATCCATTTGATAGATCAGAATTGTTGTATTTGGCCTTAAATACACAGAGCCTGAAGCTGATTTTTCCATGAAAGCTTATGTCTGTCTTGAAAATGTCATAAAATAAGATAATGTTGCTTAAAATGTTGTGTTTGTTTTTTTTTTTCTGTCTCATCTTTTCCTTGTGGACTAATAAAACATGTCAATAAACAGTAAGATGTGCTAATGTGCATTTTAATTTAGTTTGTAATTGCTGCTATGATGTCAAATACTTATTTATCAAGTCTGTGTGCATTTTGAGCAAGTTATCATTTTAAATTAGTAGGATCTTGTTTTAAATAGCCATGAATCACAAAGTATGAAGGCACTTCTGTTTGAGCATCTGTTAATATCATGTAGTTGGTGTCATTTCAGTAGAACTGTGGTGAGGTGATTATGATGGAAAAAACCATTTATTCCCCCACTGACCTACTACGAAAGACGTTAAACTTTTTGTCTGACTTTGTGCTAAGCTGGATAAAGAACATGTGCACAATTCATCTGCTTCATCAGCAGCAGGACGGGTAACTTTGCTGGCTGGTCTGTTTTTCTTCTCTTTGTCCCTCTTCTGCAGACCTCTCAAATTTATTTCTGTTTCATTCCAGTCCTTGCATGTAGATGTGTTACAATTACTGTTCTTTACAAATGCATGTTTATGCAAATCATTGTATATATTTGAAATCCAGATATAATCTTATATCCAGTTTTTCTTTATGGAATTGAGATCTGGAAAGAATAATCCTTTCTGCAGGATTCTTCCATACCTTTAGCTTTCCTTTCCACTCCCAGACTCGAGTCTGGCAAAAAGAAAGTGGGACTTGTCCAGGTGCATCCAGTAGAAAGAAGCATCATATACTTTCAGTCCCATGTTTATTAACTCGATAGTGATTTAAAAGACAAATATTTGCCATCTCCTGAGAGCTGATCTCAACACTGGCAGCACAGACAAATAAGTTTTTGTAGTTTTCTGTGAAATACGTGGTAGTTAGAAAAAATACGGGGGTGCAGGTGTACCAGCGTTTTGCTCCTTTTTTTTTTACTCTCTAGTAAATACTTACTTCAGGGATAAATCAAAGGATTGCTTTGTCACAAAATATATAATTCCCAAAGGATTCTGTAGTTTTGCAAATTCTAATTCACTTTGAAAAATTCCCGAGGAAGTCAGTGGCAGAAATGGACAACTTTTCACCTGATATTTTTATCTTACTACATTAGTGATGCCATTGCTTGCTTTGCTTATGAGCTTATTTTGTCTTGCTTACCTTTCCATTTCCATGCTTCCTCTAACTGTTCTAGATACAAGCTGGCTGTGGAAGTAATTTTCTCCCACCACCCTCCTGGGTTCTGAAATCCTTTCCATCCCATTTGGAGGGGGAGGTGAAAGGGTGCAGTTGTGGAGTGACCAGGGCGTTCTGCTCGGGTTGGTGTTGTACACTGACTGGACTCAGTTGGCCTTCACAGCGGGGTAAATTGGACGACACAAAAAGTTAAGCTGATGTAGTTTTCAGTACCTGAGGGGTAGTTCTAAACAACAGCAACAACAACAAAAGCATCACTAGTTTTCAGCTCGCTCAGTCTCCTGAATAGATTTACTTTGTCAGCACCTCTGCAGCTGCCAAAGCACAAGTCATACCTCTGGTAACCGAGAGTTGCATCCTGCTTCAGCAAATCTTCCTTCCTTTTTCCCGTTTACCTCTATTACTAGGTTGGTTTTTGTTAACTTACTTTAGAAATTTTCCCTTCAACTTTTTTTTTATTTCTAAATTTTCAAGGAAATGTGCTGGTATGAAACATAAATTCCTGCAGTGTTTTCTTTAATCCATCCGTGTTGTGATAGACATGGCTGTAGCTTGAAGTTTTACATGCTTTCCATTGTGCTAGTTTTCCATTTGTGTAGAAAACTAGTGATGAGTGTCTTAAGGAGAAAACAGATGTGCCTTATATTGCTTCAGTTTTATGTCAGCCTTTGTTGCTTCCTGTTTTTGCTTTGTTTGCACTTTGAAAGCAATATAGCCACTTCCACCTTATCTTAGCTGGAGAAACTGTCAGCAGTACACTGCAAAATCGTGTGAGCTTTGTTCCTTCTCCTTGTAGACAAGCATTTTCAAAAGGGTACTGTCAGATAATGCAGGTCTGAAAGGTGCAAAGTTTCATACAGGGAATATTTTGCTGCTATTTTCTTTGCCATTGGAAGCGTTTGTTTCTATTTCGGTGTTCGTCAGAAGTGCTTTACACAGCTAGCACTTTAATCAAAGCTAGTAGGTAAGTGTCAATCTACACGCAATGGTCATGTTGCAAAGCTTGTCAGCTGTGTCTGCACTGTAGAAACTGGGTGCGCTTCCCAACTCCCCGGTGTGAGTCCCTGGCTTCTTGACCAGCTCAGAATGAGATCCAGGGAAGGAAGCACAACATGGAAGACAGCCCTAGCACAGCCTGGACCATACCCCAGTCTGGAGGACTGAGTGGCGTTCCTCAGGGTTGGTATTGGGACCGGGGCTGTTGAACATCTTTGTCGGTGACATGGGCAGTGGGATCGAGTGCACCCTCGGCAAGTTTACC